GAAATATATTTCTTTATTCAAAAACACAAAACTGTTAGAGATTATTTTCAAAGAAATTAATTCAATGTAATTTGTGAGTTGTAAATATTGTATTGGATCTTAGAAATATATTTTTTTAACCCCATCTAACCAAGATACAGATCTGTTCACTATATCAGATATTTCTTTTGTTTATAATTTATTATGTAAAATAATAAAATATATTTTTAATTAGGTATTGAATAAACAATAAATGATTATACTAGTATGTCTGGATAAATAGTCTTTCTATTCTTTTGACTTTGTTTTCTTTGCACTGTTAGTGTTGCGTCACGGCTTTTGTCTTGTTACTCTTATCAGTAGAAGACTAGACCTGGCTCTGGCTAGTGGCAGTGCGGCAATTGCTCTGTTGTGTCTTTATTCTTAAAGGTCGTGAGCCAACTTAATTTTTAATTCTCATTTGAACATTTTAATTCCTCTGTAATAATAGATATAATAATATAAGAGTGTTTCTTTGGAAATAAATTATTCTTTTTTTTTTTCTTTTGCCCCAACAAAAATTCGGGGACGGGGACCGGCAGACACCTAACAAAAATACCAAATGAATCAGTCTATAACATTAATCTTACTAGTTAAGTATTAAGTAACAATTTTTCAGACTTATTTTTAAAATGATTTTGGAGTAACCTACCTTGTTTTGGCTAGGTTCACAGTAGTAAAATATTTCACACACTGCTTACATCAAGACAAAAAACAAACCTCTAATCATTTGCAATGTCAAAACAAAAAAATATAAAACAATTAAAGCTATATTTAATGCAAAGAATGTATTAAATAAGAACGCCTTCGTAAAGGAAACGCAACAGCAACGCGCTCCTGTATTGCGGGTATTGCATTGACTTTCTGCAGGCGTTTTTCGTATATGGATACTGACTCCCTCGTGAATCGAATCGTTTTTTGACCACCACTGAATCGAATCGCGATTCGATGCATCGAATCGAATCGAATCGAAATTTCGATGCATTTTCGATGCATCGCACACCCCTAGTACACTGTATTGATTACTGCAGACATAACATGATAACTAACACTAGTGTCCGCGCAGGCTAAAAAGTATCCTGATAACATACAGCACTGACTTTCAATAAGATTTACCATTACAAAACTGGCACTAGGCCTATATCAATTTTAGAATTCTAAGTCATCCAGTAATCGAGTAGATTGGAAGGTACTCAGGGGGAGTACGCACTGGGGTGCCTTTTTGCATAATTTCTCTCACATTTAAAACGTGCTTGAAGAAAATTTAACTCACGTGGGCATTTTAGGGTTAAGTGGTTGTTTTTGGGATTTTTTTTTTTTTAAGAGGTTGGCGGCCTCTTTTAACCTTGCATTTTCCCATACACATAGACTAACTGCTTGTGCGTGGAACGTATCCAGCAAAGCAAGGGGTGAGCTCGTACCATACAAAGGTGAACTGTACTGATAAAAATCTAATCTGATCTATTATCAAAGTTGCTTGTAAATTTGACATTTAATGTCTAGTTGGATTATTTGTTGTTGTTGCAGTTTTAGTTTTATCTTCTGGTAGACTATACCAACGGAAGCGAACTGGTCTAGTGGTAGAGCGCTGGGCTACGGATCACCAGGTGCAGGGTTCAAATCACGGCAATCATCAATGGATTTGATCTACGAGGGCTATCCAGAAAGTATATTACGTTTTTGTCTGTATCCGCAAGGGGCTGGGCTAGCGCGGCTATCTTGGTTTCAGTTCATTATGCTGCTCAGTCGTCATCTAGCCGTGGTAGTGAGAGGTTTCTGCTGTACTCCGTTGAGTTACTGTGACATTTTAAAATATCTGTGTTAATTGAAAATGCCAAGAACTGAGAAGTTCGTGCAGTTATAAGGTTTTTGACTGCAAAAAACTGTAAACCGATAGAAATCTATCAGCAACTTTGTAAAGTTTATGAGGAAAACATCATGAGGCTACTGAAGGTGGTGTGCGTCAATGGGTCTTAAACTTTAAAAATGGCCGAACTAACGATCACGACGAAGAGCGAAGTGGAAGACCCAGCATTGTGACTGCTGAACTTGTCGAAAAAGTCGATGCTAAAGTCCGTAAAACTCGAAAATTCACAATCACGGAACTCTCTATGGGTTTTCTACAAATTTCGCGAAGTTTTTTGCACAAGATCATAACCGAAAAGCTTAGTTACCACAAGTTTTGTGCAAGATGGGTACCGAAAATCTTGACAGAGAGTCACAAAAATCAGAGAACGGCTGCAGCGCTACAGTTTCTGGACGCTTACAATAAAGTTGGTGACTCACTACTCGATCGCATCGTTACGGGTGACGAAACATGGGTTCAACATGTGAACTGCAAGACGAAATTGCAGTCAATGCAGTGGGGGCACACAAATTCCCCCCAACCAAAGAGATGCATGCAAACAATGTAGGCTAGGAAGGTGATGGCGACTGTTTTTTGGGATAGGGAAGGTGTAATTTTTTTGGACTTCCTGGAAAGAGGCACTACAATAAACTCTCAAAGATATTGCCAAACTCTGCAAAACCTTAGAAGGGTGATACAATACAAGCGCAGGGGAAAGTTAAGCTAAAAGATCCTGCCAATTCACGACATCGCCCGGCCCCACAATGCAAATGTCACTCGCGAAGTTCTTTTAAGTGGGAGTTGTTTCCTCATCCACCGTACAGTCCCGACCTGGCACCGAATGACTTTCACTTATTTCCAGCAATGAAGAAGTGGCTGGCTATGCAGCGTTTTGATGACGACGCACAGCTACAAGAAGAGGTAGCCAAGTGGTTTAAGACACAGGCGGCCGAATTCTACGATGAAGGAATTTCTAAGCTCGTTCGTCACTACGACAAGTACCTTAACTTGAAAGGTGATTATTTATTTATTTATTTATACACAATTTACAATAGCTACAGGTATAAACCCAAAACAGCTATAATGAAAAATAATACAATATTAATACATAAAGTGAAGAACAAAAAAAAATACAAAAAGTGCACATAAATAGACAATACAAAACCAGTGATGATAATAGTAAAAAAGAGTGAATAAAAGTTAATAAAAATAGACAACGTTGTTGAAAATTTCACTTATTTTGACTGCAAATCTAAAGGGATGGATTACATTACATAAGCAAAGCGTTTATCTTAAATTTAAACTGCTTAATAGTGTCAGAAAAAACATCTATTTTGCTATTGTGGACATTTAATAAACGTAAGCCTGTAAAAAGTGAAAAACTGTAAAATTGAACAGTGTTATGTGGGGTAAATAATAAAATTGATGATCTTGAATTATTACGAGGAACATAAAAAACAATCTTACTCAAGAAAAACAAACTATCAACTTTGTTATTTAGGATTTTATACAGAAAAATCAATGCTAAAACTTCCCTTCTCAATGTAAGGCTTTGGAAATCAAACAATCCTCTCAATGAGTCAGTTGACATATGCCAGTCACATCTCTGATTATACCTTTTTAAAAACAAGTATCGTAGACATTTATTTTGGAGAATTTCTATTGCATTTTTGTGGTATGAGTTGAAAGGAAACCAAACTAAAACACAATATTTCAGCTTACTTCTAACAAATGAGTAAAACAATCTAATAACAGGGTCAATAGTTCTGAAATTCTTGGTATTTCTAATTATAAAACCTAACATTCTATACGACTGATTAATAATAAATTCAATGTGTTTATCAAATCTTAGATACGAGTCAAAAGTAACTCCTAAATCCTTAAATTGGTCAACTCTTTTAAGTTTAAAATCATGTACTGAATACGGAAAAGGGTTGAATAACTTTTTTCTTGTAAAGCTCATCGTAACACATTTTTTTATATTCAGTTCCAGGTGGTTATCCAGACACCACATTGAAAGAAGATTAAGAGATGCTTGTAACATATGCTCATCCCTCCTCTAATGGCTCTATACATCTTTAGATCGTCTGCATACAAAAGACTCTTACAGTGAGTTAATATTTCAGGAAGATCATAAATAATAATCAAAAACAGGAGAGGACCCAAATTGGAGCCCTGGGGAACACCTGAGCTACATAAGTATGACTCAGACTTGACATTCTTAACAATTACATATTGAAATCTGTCTGTCTTTTAGATATGAAGCCACAAAGGAAACAAAGAGAGTAGAAAATCCGAAACTAGATAATTTAAAAAGTAATATTTCGTGGTTAACTCTGTCAAAGGCTTTAGAAAAATCTGTATAAATAACATCCACTCTGCCTCCCAAATCTAGTTCTGAGTTAATATCAAAGGAAAACTCCAATAAGTTTGTAGCAGTTGATCTCTGAGGTAGGAAACCATGCTGTTGAGAGGAGATCTGACTTTTTATACTGGTATAAATAAAGCGATAAATAAGAGTCTCAAAAACCTTTGCAAAGGAATTTATTAAGGATATTGGACGATAATTATCAATATGATCAATTTTACCTGATTTGTGTATTGGAGCGACCTTGGCTTCTTTCCATTTTTGGAAAAGTAGTTCTTTCCATTATGTTGAAAAGTAGAATTTAAATGTGGCTTTCATTTGTATATAATAAAATATTTTTCCAAGATTTTGTTTATCTTTAATTCCAAAACGTAATCTACTTTCTGGATAGCCCTCATAATATGTGATAATGCCTCGACGCTCTAGGACTAGCCTGAATTAGGCTGTGTAAATCAGTTCCAGGCTAGAACCTAGCGTCTTAGGATTTTAAGGTGAAAAAAGGTCTATACCAACATTAGTTTTTGAAGGCTAGATATAGCCCCGTAAAGGCCTTTGAAACAGTATTAGCTTTTCTCCATGCTCTTAGAAAATTAAAGTTGTCATTAACATTTGGCACAATAAACATTTGACATGGCAAAATATTGAATCTCTGATTTAAGGAAAACAAAATAACTGGAACCATGAACCATTGAACTTGACAGAATATTATTGCTCAAAATATTTGTTACCACATCAAAATTAAAAAGGCGTAAGTTGTAGGTAACTTACCGCAGCACGAAGAGCCATGCCTGAGCTTCCTGGAGGTAGTTGATAGGCCTTGCGGTCACCAAACGAGGGGCTGGATTGGGCCGCATCACGGAACGGGCCGTAGAAAGCTGACGCAAATTTGACAGAGTATGAGAGCACAGAGACTGTGGAGTCTAACCCTTCCCGAGCCAGACCTTGCTTGATGGCTGCTACTCGCCCATCCATCATGTCTGAAGGAGCGACTATATGACAGCCTGAAACACACATTCTGCCTTATGAACAAATAAGGAAACATTAGTAATGGATTTGCTGCGTTACTAAAATCAATACATTTATATTAAAAGAATTGATTGTTGCATTTTTTCAATGCTAAATATAAACGCTGTTTTAAAGAAATAAACACTGTTTTAAAGCATAACACAATGGTTCTTGAATCACTTTCAAACCAAGTAGTATTAAGACAAACATGACAATGATAAAATTGCAATAGGTAACAATAGTCATAAATATAACACAAGATCACATGTATTGGTAGAGCAGCACAATTTGAATTTTTTTAAATAACACTAGTTATTAAGGAAACAAATTTTTACACCACCTTCCAGAAACATTAAAATTAAAGAAAACTCCAAATAAGTTTTTAAAATAAAAAATCTTGAAAATACTCAATAAATGTAGCCTAAATTTGCCTTAAAATAAAAAGTGTGAAATTTAATGTTTGCTATGTTTATTGTTTACATTGAAGACGGGGATTTTCAATTTTTTTTTTCATTTTGAGGCAATTTTTGGTACCTTTCTTGAGTATTTTCAAGAAATGTATGATAGTAGATTGTAGGAAATTTTATTCTCTTTCGGAATATTACCTTCCTTTTTTGGTCGATTTCCTCACCATTTAAAAGTTATTTGCAAAAACGTCAAGCAACCTCCAAATTTATAGTGGTAAAAAGTTGGAGAATACTTTTTAACTTTTTACAATTAAATCTACAGTTCTGCTGGATTTATTTTGTTAAATAATGTGTCTTTGGAAGGCATAAACATTTTGAGTTGCTTTTTCGTTTGATGTGTATTTTATAGCGGTAAGTTTAATAGTATAAAAGTTATAAAGCGTTAAAACCGGGTAATTCATTTTGAAACACCCTGTATTTCATGTACCAAACTACAATAGGTGAAACAAAGAAATGATGATGATGGAGATTAAAATCAACCCACATTATTGATAAGACCATTCTCATCTGTGATCAAAAATATATAGGATGTCCCACAAAAATTTAATTGTTTGGTTTTACACTTTGTGCCCATTTATCACCCAAGATCAGACAGATTACCTTAATCTTAATAGGGGTTTGTTAAATGGTATGGATCTGTTGGTGCTTGAAAACTTAGCATTGTTTTATGCAGATAAGATTTTATTCATATAACATCAAATCACATATTTGTTTCTACACTGCATTTTGCATTTTTACATAACCTATACCAAAGGTCAGTAAAGTATAACTAGTATAAGAAAATTATAAGTAGGAAAGTAGGTAAGGGTGGGTTAAAAGAGTATATACTGTAATAACGACCAACCAGCTTTAGCATACGAGACAGCGACTTCTGCAATCCTTTCTATACTCAGATGGTTATTAATGCTGCCATTCTCTCTCAAGATGCCACAGTGTCCATGATTTATGTAAGGGCAAAGGCAAACCTGAGAAAACGACACTTAAGTCAACTCATACACAATATGGTCAGACTGCCAAACACTATACCTATTATAAAATCAAAATATTTCTGGTGCAAAGCTCTGTTTATAAAAACTAATTTTTCTGCAGAAAATCCTGGAAAGACTTGTCTTATAAAGGTTGTTTGGTGCAAAGATGATGTTTTGTCAAAACAGACTAGAATAAAACAACTGCAATGGATTTTTACAGTTTTATTATGTGTCAAGGACTTGTTTTAATTAAGTTACATTGTTTCCTATCAGTTATCTTTTGTTCTTAATCTTCTAATGTGGTCACTTATGCACATTTTGCCACCGGTGAGGCATCTTTAGAGTTTAAGAGTTTACACAAAGTATTAAAAACTAAGCATTACTCTTTACAGGTATTTGTGAAACAAGGTTATTTTCTCACTATTAATATCACGGCTGTGCAGCGGTGGCAGGTGCGTGTCAAATGTTCGGTCATAATGGGTGTGGGGGTTCATTGTATCGAGGGAGAGACGCACACAATTCGTTAAGTAGAGGTTAAATTCGCTATGTAGAGGTTCTGACAATGATAAATTTGTTATATTGAGGTGTCTTATTTTCGCCGGGATCATGAAAAATTTGTTAAATCAAGGTCGTTGATATGGTTTGTTTGTTATGTAGACGTAAAATATACAATGTGTTTTATAGAAAGTTCTAGGGGATTTAAAAAAAAATTTTTATATCAAAGAATTTGTTATATCGAGGTTTGTTATATCAAGGTTAGACTGTACAATAAAAGAAGAAGCCTAATTACAGTATCCAAAATCAATAGTTATAGCAAGGCCCGATAATCCATAGAAAGAACACCATAACATTTAGTAATAAGCTGGTTACATAAAGAACTTAACCCAAGACAAACTGGTGTTTGGCAGGAGAAATGGTGAGGTATGCAGGATCCCAGACATCGAAGGCCCAGAAGAAGCAAAGTATTTAGGTTTAATAATAGACCAGAAACTGACATGGACCCCCCATATTGACAGCCTGTGTAGTAGCTGAGTAGCAGTGTCTACGTGATAAGAAGGATAAAAACTATAAGTGACACCAACATAGCCAAGATTGCCTACCACTCACTGTTTGAATCACATCTTCGATATGGCCTTGAAGTATGGGGAAACTCATTGGCAACCAGCCTCCAACGTGTGCTTATCCACCAGAAAAAAGCAGTAAGAATATTAGCAGACATTGACAAGAGAGAAAGTCAAGTCACAGACCAAAATTCCGTGAGCTAAAAATCCTAACGATTACAAGCCTGTACATCCTAGCTATGGCTACTCACGCAAGCAGGCTACAGGTCCAACGAGGTATGGATAAGCACAGCCATAACACTCGACGACAGGCTATGAATTAAATACACGACTGGAAGTGTATTTAATTCATAGCCTGTCGTCGAGTGTTATGGCTAACTCTTTTTGAAGAAAAGCCTTCCTACATGGGAGTGAAGTAACTGAACCTGCTACCAGAGACAATAAAAGGCCCCAGCATAAGCAGCACCAGACAACGCTTATCGGCTTGGCTTGTCGAGAGACAGTTCTACACAGTTGAGGAGTTCATGAACTAGAGAACATCACCAATGTTCCAGTGAGAACTAAACAACCCTCATAGTAATAACCATCACTACTGACAGCGCCTCAAAGCCCAACAAGTTTTTGCTGTTTTATATTTAAATCTCTGTAATGTTTGACGCCTATTCTGTACTCTATGTTCAAGAATAAAGCATTCTGATTTTGATTCTGGCATAAAATGTAAGTAATCAAAAAATATTGTAGTTTACTAAATACATTTTGAAGTTTCCCAGTCATTCAGGAGTATCAGTATTTAAACTCCTTGGTGCATAACAACAACTATTTTCAATTTGAGAATATTTTTATCATTGGTCTCAGGTCTAGTTTACAGTAATTTATGCCAAAGTAGACCAACTGGTGTAATCTATTTTTTTTTTACTCAATCGTAATCTAAAATTTAGTAAAAAAGTGGCATTGGTTTCTGACCCTGAGAGGTTAGGGTTGACTCACATCGGCTTTAATCTTAATGAACTTCATTAATCAGCTAAGTACCTACTGATTATATTCATAACTATATCTTTTTTCAATTTAGAAGTTGAATAATTTTTGTAAACGAGCACTATTTTCAATTTGAAACATTCTGGTTATCAACGAAATCATTTTTTTTACATGGCACTGGTTAGTGGTTATTACTTTCTACAATTAATATTTAGTTCAAGTTGTTATTAATTAGTTTTTGTTTGATAAGGGAAAGCGGTCTAAATCCCTCAAATTATTATGGCTGTGTCAGGAATTGAACCTGTCCCTCTCGCACCAAAATTTGAGAAGCTAATCACTAGTGTTGTATCCGCTAGTGGGTGGGGTGTCCAGAATAAATACTCGGGCGTGATGTTAATTGGGTTCATTTATTAAGCGGATAAGCAATAAAATACAAGTTATAATATCTTACTAATACATGACTACGCTAATATCACAGAGAAATCCCCATTATTAAAAGGGTATAATTTAGAGGGAGGGCTACCTACTACTGAACCAAGGGTCGGGCAATGTAAATCTCCTATTAGCCTATCACCACATACCTGCTAATATCAGCGGGAGAATCATGACCAGCTAGTTGTTGGCTGGACTGCGCCTAGGCTGATTCTGACTGTAAGTTGGTGGTTCACAAGGACCGACCATATCTAACCTCAAGGTGGTGGGGCTGGTGACGCAAATGCTGGTTTCCAGAATTACCTCAAACCACATTTGGTACTGGATATAATGTTACAAAATCTCAAAGTTAAAAACTACTTTTGGCTGAGCTCCCTGCTCCAGATATAAACGGAATCAAACTGTAAACTAATAAATTGACCCATGTGGATACACAACATTCGCCCCTTCTTTCTAAAAGTGAGACCACACTCAAGTGGTCTAACTTTTACCAAAAATAAAGAATTTTGAAAGAACTAATTGTTTTGTTTATGTTAAATGATCCTTGGCCCTTACAATTATGGGAGATACTCTAAGGGGAATTCTCTGCTTGTCTAAGCATTAAAGCTACACCATAGCAATGTCAAAACAAATATCTAAAATATTCTATGGTTAAAGTATATTCATATTTGACACGAAATTACAACAACAAAGTCACAACAGAGATACAGGCTTTTCATTGACCGGCTTCCCGCAGTGATAACGCCTGCGGTGGCACACGCCGCCTCAGTGAAACAGTTGGACATCTACAACTGTATGCACAGTGAAATGATGAATCATAATTTCGATTTAAATTTAAAACTTATCAAACTTATCAAATCCAATATGATCAAATGGAATCAATTAATACTTTGCTTGATTTCATAAGCGACTATCTCCGCTAAATATTACCTAAATATCCTAACATATACACAATAAACCACACGACAATGATAATGTTATTAATTATGTTATTAAAATTGGCAAATGATTAAGCAAAATGCAATATATTTTTCAACATAAAACAATACGAATACCAGTTAACACACTATAACACACTAATAAACTTTTCCATCTACAAAATGCATCTCTTCTCTTCCCCGCATAACATAGCGCATCCCTATCTGAACTACAATACACCCTGACTAATCAGCCAATACTCCATCTCTATTAAATCAAACTCCCAAAATAAACACAAAGAAATACAATACATCAATTTAAATCACAAAGTAAACACAAGACTATAATTGATTAATTCAAACAACACAACCCATCAATGTTACCACAAATATTTTTATTTTATTTTATACTTTTACCATTTTTATTTATTTTTTTTTTTTATATCTATATTCTTTCCTTTCATATATATATACCTTATACTTTTACACACACACACACCAAACAACTACCCTACTTATTACATCATATCATTATATCTTTGGCGAAACATTTCATATTTCCAAAATGTAACACCACTTTCTGCTTCTATACCCCGACAGCCTTTATGCATATTTAAAATTGATTTTAACTATCTTTATGTCTCAAAACTCATACAGCAGCCGTCACTGGCTACGTTGACTATGTTCACACCATCAGACACAATCAGGAATGTTGTGGGCAACTAGTTATCTGAAATATTTGCCTCAAGGACAAGTAAATAAGCAATCCTGGAGTTGGAGTTCTGTTATCTGTATTGGCGACAACAGCTGTTTGGCACAGACCACACTACTGGCCTTCAAAGATAACACTTCTGCATACCAGGTCCATTTAATGAATGACCAACAATGGCGAGGGGGTAAAGACCTCCACTCACCTCGCAGACCACAGCTGTCTCCGTAGTACTGTCACCATGTGTCAATGCTTACTTTTGCCCAATTGTGTCAATCCTCTGACGTATCTACATTAAGGTGTGACTAAACCAATTACCACGTGATTCCTGAATTGTGCTTAATGGCTGTTCACAAAATAAATAAACTACCAATGAACAACAAAGGGTATATCCACAGTTAATGGAACATCCTAACGTTATGCATTCATACTCCATAATCCATACATACAGACATGTTGCCTATTTTAACATTTTTTTTTTTTTTAAACACTATATATACTTCATTACACATTTAACATTCCACAATTAATTCATAAACACCAAAATATCTAAGATAGCACCCTCAAACTTAAATTCTAAATAATACAACCTTCGCTTAAACACTTAAGGAACATACAACCCGTTGCATTAATACTGCTTACAACCTGAGGTAGACAAGGAAGACAAATAACCCTGAGGACGGTATAAACATGACTAAAGGGACCGCTTGAGCCTCAATTGGCAGGGTGCGGTTACCCTAAACGAACAGGCAATCTTTTAGGGCCTGTCCGGTCACTGGGGTGGCTCTTAACGCCTCGAATGGCATGTGGCTATTACGTGACAATTTTGAATTTTGATTACAATGAATTTCAATAGATTCGAAAGACACATGCTTAGAGACCCGCCGTCATCATCAATTGACAATTAATGCCAACATCAATACATTTCTCATATCACCGCAGCATTACTTCATATTTATCAACTGGGATTCGGTAAATGCACATGCTATATGTACACTTAGCGAACCCGGTACGCGTACACACCACATGTATGTACCGCACCCGCGTCAACACTAACGCGTTTAGCACTGATCTTGGTGCTTACCATTTTGCTGCGGCTACAACATAATACATTACTTAAATTCTACAATACCATAATGCACACAAAATAACACAAATATTGCCCTTCACTCACTACACTTGCACATTCACACGAATTCACTGATTTGGCGATACTTCTGGGGTTACAAATTGGTGTCTTCTTGAGCTGAGGACTCCGCCAGGTGGACTTCTGCTGCTTGTGAACGGTCGAGGGTGGATATGAGGTTGATTCCTGCGTGGCTGCTCCATTGGACCCCTGCACTTGGGATGATTGCTCTCCGGTACGTAGTTGGAGTCGGGCTAGGCACCTCGCTGTCTACAGTTGTTGATGGTGGTCCCGTCTGGGCTCCTTGACAGTGGCTGATCACCCAAAATAGCTGGACGACCTTCCCCAATGGCTTTCGACAGTAGCAGGTCAAACAAGCGATGACGCACAAAATGACTACTGTGCCAGCTTCCCACTTTCTTGAAATTTTCATGATTCTTGAATTTCGTAATAATGCATGTTCATAATTCATTCATTTTAGGAAATTCTTGATTTCTGATCGTTGTTTGCCTCACTTCATTTCTGCATTCAAAAGTCAATGTTATTGCTGTTGTTGTGCTGTACACCCACAGCCCTTGCGACGGCACCTGGTGAAACACAGTGCCCATTGGTCCATGATGCACCCTCCTCTGACAAACTCCTGGGATCGTTGTTCCCCACTCAGCTAGCAGTTGAGCTTCACAGCTGGACTCTACACTGGGAATAGTGGTTGACACAGTGCCTGTTGTCCCTGGGTACAGCGCTGGAGTTGTTCCTCGCTCAGAGTGGCATACCGCTGTCGATCCGGTGTAATAGCTAGATATGGGGACAGACTATGGAAACTTACATATGCCCTTAATTTCTGATCATATACAGGGAGGTTAAAGACTCTAAACTACTCAAAGGATCTATCTGGGGATTTTAACAAAACAATAAATATTACTCTAATCCCATAAACTCAATACTTCTGACTAATGAATACAACCCATTTTGTAAACTACAGTATAATTTAACTTTAATTTAATTTTATTGTAAACTGACTAACTTTATTTTCAAAAAGTCTTGCAAGCCCTATAATATCTGAATGTGTGACTTTCAACCCGTCCTGTAATGTTTTTACGTAAATTACTTATTCCTAACTAACATAAACTAATTCCACCTGAATAATGGCTAATTTCCCCGATTTTATCATTTAAATTATAAAAATCTTCCAAGTCTAACGTTCCGAATACTTAACGCATACCTGTCCCTATAGAATCAAATATAGCCCTTTTTGGCCTTTTTCCCCTTATATTGTCCCTATCATCCTCCCCATCTAACAAAAGTTGTTTGGTCCATTATCGCCCGTAAATGAATTACTCCTACCTTAATTCTTCAACCCATGTAGAAGTACCGCCTTATCATTTAAACAATTAGTGCAATACGTTGTTAAATTTCCTCATTCTCTCCTACATTTATACAATACACATTTCACACATTTACTCCTATATGCATTTATACAACCACAACAAAAATTAATAATATCAGAACAACGTCGCATACCTACAAACAACAACGCCTCGCGTTTCAGCCAGGAAGTGCATCCAAGTTTCATTTGTTAAAATACAAAATAAATTTCTTTCATTTAATTCAATATCATCAATTTACTCAAGGACTGGTTGCTGATTGATTTCTGGACTCGTGCCTAGTATTGTACGGATGCGTCGTTACTCTCATATCTGGCGCGTCATCTTTATTATTGGACGGTGCCCAGTCAACATCCCTTGGATCATCAATCATAGTTAAATTACCAGTATCCTCCACACGGCTTGAGCTTTCTGAGCCTAATGACTCAGCTACAGAACATGGACTACCCCAACCTCGGAAAGTACTTTGGTCCGAGCTACTACTTTTGTTTGCCACATTCATATCGCCCGTGTCATCTTCTATTTCTGGTACTTCCGGCGCCTCGGTTCGCCGCTTCTCCGGGACGTGTGCCAGGCCACTTCCGCCGTACTCAGGCCTAATTCCGACAATTCTTGGTTTTGCAAAAACCATGGCATCCGGTCGCAAATTTTGATCGATCCTGTCAATCACCGGACGTTCATCCGCCTTATCACTAACCACAACCGTATCGTCCTTATTTCTAAAATCATTACCAATAATTTCTTTGAATTTATCATATTCCAACACTATCTCATTTCGCAAAATTTCCCCGTTTATATTTAATTTATTTATACATAAATTCATTTTACATTCTCCTAATTATACCTCATAAACTAAATCTGATAACTTGGATAGAATGGTATGAGGCCCTGTCCAGTAGGCTACTTAACAAACTTCTGCCCTAGTGCATTTTTAATTTTCGGGTGAAAAATATATATATTGTATCTCCCACATTAAATTCTATCAATACTAATTTTTATCATAATACAATTTACTCTTTTCCTTAAATACATTTATATTTACCTTAACTGATTTTAACGCTTAACTCACTGCATCTACTAAATTACCACATTCAAAAATTATTGGTTTTGTCGAGAGTGCATGTGCCAGTGTGTGCACTTAAACACTTTCCACTGCCTCTCACCCCAACCAAAATTGATATCATTATATGCCAACTCAATTAACGGTTTTGAAATTTCGCTAAAATTTAAAATAAATTTTCTATAATAATTTACCAACCCCAAGAAACTACGTATTTGTTTAACATTTACTGGAATAGGATATGTGCAAACAACTTCAACTTTCCTTGGGTCTATCTTCACGCCTTCACCACTGATAATATGTCCGAGATAACTAACTTCCGACTTAAATCTGAAAATAGCCCGAATGTAGGCCAAGTGTAGTAAATGATTGGCAACCTGACAAGGAGTCAAGTATTGTTTAAATTAGTGGCAACGGATAGTTAAATTTTATAGTCAACTAATTAACCTGACAAAAATCAACTGCAACACAATATGACATATAATCCTCCTTTAAGTCTTTATCAGGCTTACTAGCCTAATGATTAGCTTCCCCAACACACCCAAATTTGAATTAGAGTTTTAAAAATCTACTTATTGTAAGCTATCAAACGTGAATTATCCAAAATGTTTGTAGAGTTTTATATTCTATGGACAACTAGTGTGTGTTCGCTTCCAAGATATTAATGTTAAATGTCAGCATCATCCCTAGCATAGATATAGCCTGCATTTTCTGCACCGAAAGTGTGAAGAAGTCAGCCTGCTAAATGTAACCTATAGTCATGAATAATATACTTACATCACATGCAATGATTATGTCTGGAAACGCTTGTTTCAAAATGGGGAGAGCCTTTATAACTGGATTATCCTTGGAATCTGCATTGATACCACTGTCATCCTGCAAAGACAACAAATTATACCAAAATGCATAAGCAAAAGAGACTGGCAGGACTTTTTAAGACTCAACAACAACCTGCAAACAAGAAGATTAACTAGATTAACTCTCTATGTTCAGCAAATCAACAGACTCAGTAGATTTCTTGACTTGTTTTCTAATTTTTAACCAAGCGTGATTATGAAAAAAAATAAAAAACTGGCTATACAACCTAATGAGTGTGAGATTAAACTTATCCCAGCAGATCTTGATCCAGGACATCCAATAGACATATAAATACGGTCTTGGTGGTTATAAATCTAATTTCAAGATAGTCTACAATCTACATAGATAATTACATTATTTAGCAATAATAATTTTAAATTTTAGTAGCCTAGTCTATTTAATAACTTTTCCCATTCCATGTGAAGACAAAATTTCCTATGTTGGGGAGAAGAACAAGGTTTTTCTTTTGTGGCACAGCTGGGAGCTAAGCCTGCGGTACTTTGAGAAAATAGCGGCTTGTAGCTGGGGTAAATAAGGTACTACATTTTTTTATGTAATCACATAACCTTTCTTTTAAAACAAGTCAAACTCTGTGTATCCCAATATTAAAGGGGGTAAATATGGCCCAATAAAACTATACACTTTTGCATGCTTCTGTAACTAGCATATCAAACTGAAATACACAACAAATTATTTTGGCACCAAGGGCAAAATTGTGGCTTTATTTTAACCTTTCCACGCCCTCTGCATTAACATCTTCTTTCCGGTAAGAAATTGGCTGGAACTATTAGTTTAAGTTTGATTAAGTCTATTGATAAACAAGGACAATCACCATCACCCAGAGATTTACTCACCTTTGAGAGATGTGTCACTACGCCAAACAACAAAATACTTTTCAAACCCTTTTCCACTAAAGGCTTCAGTTCATCGACAACTCTATTGACCCCGTACCTAAAAACTCCGGGCATACTCTCAACTTCAGTTTTTGCATCTTCAACATCTCTTTAAAAGAAAACTTATTTTAGTTTGCATTTTATTGCTACGTTTGTTTTTTTTAAATTTTGTTATTAATTAACAATTTTTAGAAATCTTATGACATTATTTTTACTAAATAACTTCTTGATCAGCATTGTACGTGTTATTAAATTTAAGGAAAGTAAATAAAAGATACATCTTATAACACTTAAAACATATATTTATGCTTAGGCCTACTATTACTCACAAGACGGTAAATATAGAAAAAAGATGGTAAGTGGTGATCGATTTCGATTGGACACTCCAATCATCATCAGACCCAATAGGCAAATGACAAATCATTCGTCATCATTCGCCTATTGGGTCTATTGGGTCTGATGATGATTGGAGTGTCCAATCGAAATCGATCACCACTTACCATCTTTTTTGTATATTTTTTTACCGTCTTGTGAGTAACAGTATAAGCGTAAATATATGTTTTAAGTGTTATAAGACGTATCTTTTATTTACTTTCCGATCATTTTTACATTTTATTAGGAATGTAGTATACTCTAAACATTTCTGTAAAAAGGGGGTCGATAATGTATCAATGTATTGTATCAGTATATTGTTGTTAAGATGGTACATGATTATCTTCATTAAGAATAGGCTACTGTCATACAAATCATACTGTACTGTCACAAAACCCGACACTCAAACACCACATATGCCTCAAGATGGAATTTTCATGAACAATAGTTAAAAGATAGTGACGACAATGAAACCAAATAGATCTCCTGAGGTCAGGTATTGTCCATAATCAGTCATTTCCCTGCCAACAGCTTTATTCTACCTTTTCTTATTCCTGATTACCTTATTTGGCCATCATTGTCATCCTTTAGGCCGTTTATAAAACTGTAATAAAATGTTAGGGTAATGATCCTAAAATTTGCCTTCCTATTATAAGGTCATTTCAAAACACTTCTAGCGGATAGACGCACTAAAACAAATCATTCTAGTAAAAGGTCATTTAATTTACAGAGAATAGTTAAGTAGTGTAATCCACTAGATTCAAATCAGAAAAACTGTTGTTAAAACTGTTGTTACCTAGGTTGCTAGGATAACAAAAAAATAAACAAATGATTAAAGTAAATACAGAACACATGGTTATTGTGTTAGACAGTTTAGTGGCACCACATTAGCCCCCTGCGGAGTCTGGAAGACCGGGCACTTTAAATTTCACAGTACGACCAGATCGGGTCACGTAAGGCTTGGGTTGGCTTGAGAGTAGGGTCTTGAGTGGGAACACTGTGGAGGGTGGATTTCTGGAATGTTCATTGTGGATGGGTGCATGTGTTGAAGGAGTAAGATCTTGCAATAGATACGCGGGCTTTACTCTGTCCAACGTCACCTTCACACGTTTACCACGATGGATTATAGTCATAGTTTTATCATCACGAGATACCACGGGAAACGGTCCAGTATAAGGTGGTTGTAGTGATCGTCTAACACAGTCATCTCGCAAAAATATGTGAGTACACCGTTTTAACTCCTGAAAAACGAAGGTCTTTGGTTTATCATGCCAAGATGTGGGCACAGGTCTTAAATTTGACATGTGTCGACGTAAGCGAACTACATAGTCAGCCGGGTCCTCCTCACGAGTTGTGTCTTGAGGGAGGTCTAGAAGTTCTCCAGGTAGACGGAGTTGGTGGCCAAAAACTAATTCAGCAGTAGATGCCTGAAGGTCTTCACGATATGCGCTGCGAATGCCGAGTAGTACGATGGGAAGTGCTTCAAGCCATGTTGAATCATTGTGGCACATGAGAGCTGCCTTAAACTGCCGATGGAATCTCTCGACTAAACCATTAGCACAAGGATGATAGCCGCAAGTTCTGATTCGCTCTACACCAAAGGTCTTTCCAAGGGCACGAAATAATGCTGACTCAAATTGGCGTCCTTGATCAGTTGTGATGCGCAAAGGTGAGCCGTAACGGGAAAACCAGCACATCACCAGAGCCTCAGCTACTTCTTCTGCGGTGATGGTTTTCAATGGATGAACTTCTGGCCATCTGGTGTAGCGGTCGATAGCTGTTAGGCAATATTTGTATGGTCCGGATGGTGGAAGTGGTCCAATGATGTCAATGTGAACATGATCAAATCTTGATGATGGGAGTGAAAACGATCCATGGGGTGTAAATACATGACGGGAGATCTTAGCACGTTGACATTTCTCACAGGCTCGGGCCCAGTTTTGACAGTCTTGTTGAATTCGGGGCCAAACAAAGCGATTAGAAACAAGTTTTGCCGAAGCTTTGATGCCAGGGTGACTTAGATTGTGTATAGAATTAAAAACTGAGCGTCTAAGGGGCTCAGGGACAAAGGGTCGTTGTACTGAAGTTGTTGTGTCACAGTATACATCAAGGTCTGTTCCAGGAATTTTGACAAGCTTCAAATTAAGAGATGTCTCTCCCTTAAGGATCTCTTGTAGCTCAGGGTCAGAGTCTTGATGATGTGCCAAAGTTTTGGCATCTACAATGCTGGGAGCCGTAGTTGACAATGAATCTACACGAGAAAATGCGTCAGCTACTAGGTTGGCCGATCCAGAAACATGTCTTATGTCTGTAGTGAATTGTGAAATGAATGTTAGTTGGTTTTGCTGAACAGGAGGTAGTTTTTCACGTTTTTGACTGAAGGCAAATGTTATTGGCTTGTGGTCTGTGAAAACTATGCAATGATTTGCCTCAAGGTAGTGACGAAAGTGACGAATGGCGGCATATACAGCGAAAAGCTCACGGTAATAGGCTGGCCAAAGGGATTGTTTTGGTGTCAGTTTCTGTGAAAAGAAAGAGAGAGGTTCCCATGTTTTATTGTCAACCATCTGCTGGAGAGCAGCTCCTACATGGGTACTCGAGGCATCACAGAACAATGCGAGAGGGGCCTTGTGGTCAGGGTGAACAAGCAAGGTAGCATTGGAGAGATGTTCTTTGCAGGATAAGAATGCAGCATCCAATTCAGGAGTCCAATTTACAGGTTGGTTTCCACGTAGAGATGAGAGGGCATCATGGAGAGCTGCTTGTTGCTTGGCTGCTGAAGGAATGAATCTGCGGTAGAAATTCAACATGCCGAGAAAACGACGCAAACCTTTTGCAGTAGAGGGACGGGTGAATTGTTGCAGAGCCTCAACACGTTCAGGAAGTGGTCGAGTACCAGCAGATGATACCTCATATCCTAGGAAGGTAACCTTTGGAGCTTTCAAAACAGTCTTATTTACGTTAACGAGTATGCCATAATCAGAAAACCGATTGAATAGAGTTCGTAGATGGGCTTCATGTTCAGTCTCATCCTTAGAGAAAACTAAGACGTCATCTATATAAGGAAAGCAGAAGTCTAAACCAAAAACTACTTCATCGATGAAACGTTGAAAAGTTTGTCCTGCGTTGCGGAGGCCAAAGGACATGAAGGGGAATTCAAACAATCCAAAGGGGGTTGTAATGGCTGTCTTCGGGATGTCTTCAGGGTTGACAGGGATTTGTGTGTAGGCCTTCACTAGGTCGATCACAGAGAAATACTTGCAACCTCTGAGAGAATGGGTGAAATCGTGGATATGTCTAACAGGATATCTGTCAGGAATAGTCCTAGCGTTGAGAGCACGGTAGTCTCCACAGGGGCGCCATCCATCAGGTTTCTTAGGGACCATGTGAAGGGGTGATGACCAAGGTCCATCAGATCGACGTGCAGTACCATCGGTGAGCATGGCATCAAACTCGGCTTTGGCTATAACAAGCCGATCAGGAGCGAGTCGACGTGGACGAGATGAAACTGGGGGGCCAGGGGTCGTTTTGATGAAATGCAAGGTTGAATGGAGCACTTTTCTTGGTGTACCAGAGGGTCGGGTAATCATGGGAAATTCTGCCAGTATTGATGAAGTTGGAGAATTGGGTGTGATAGTTTTTATGCTGAAATGAGGGATTGAGGTACATTGACAAAGAACAGAAAGGTTTGTTACACTGTCAATCAACCGTTGATTACGACAGTCAGGAAGCAATCCAAAGTGTGCTAAAAAGTCAGAGCCTATAATCGCTGTATTAACATCAGCAATGACAAAATTCCATGTAAAAGCTCGTCTCAGCCCTAAGTTTAATGTTAATGTCATCATACCGTAGGTGTGAATGGCAGAGTTGTTTGCTGCACGAAGTTCATATTCTATATGCTTTTGGTTCTTACAAACGAATGATTTAGGGAGGCAGCATATGTCGGATCCAGTGTCAATCAAAAATGTTGTATTAGTTGTACGGTCGACGATTTGTAGGCGGCGCCCTCCAGCTTGGCAGTCAGCTGACGCCATCACTGGCTGCCTTTGGAGTTTGTCGGAGAAGTGAAATTGCATGGTGGAATGCACTTCTCAGCTTGATAGCCAAAACGCTTGTGGTACCAGCATAGATTGGTTTGCTCTGTAGTGTCAGAGGAGCTACCTGCGTGATAACGACTACTAGACAAACTCCTCTGACGTGACCTAGGTCGCCTGTCACGTAGGGAATCAACATCTTTACGCATATTTTTCATTTGCAACTCCAAAGCAGATAATTTTGATAAAACTTCAGTTAATTTTGGGTCATCAGAAAATGAAGATTTAGGATTTGGTGAATTAACGGCATTCAAAGATGTAGGCATACTAGTGAGAGAATGGCAAAAAGATGCGTTAGGTTGGACTGCTAGAATTTTGTCGGCAGTAATTGCAAGTGTGTCAGTTTGGGCACTTGTTTGGACTTGCAAAATACTTTGGACATGAGCAGGAAGTCTCTGCATCCAAATAGTTTTCAGTTAACTATCTTGGATTGTGGTCGAACCTACTAGTGATCGAAGGTGGCGTAGGAACTGAGAAGGAGTTTTGTCACCTAGTTCCTCCTCCATCAATAGCTGACGAATGCGTTGCTCCTCAGATAGAGACAACCGTCTGATTATTTCAGACTTAAGAGTAGAGTAAGGAGTTTCAACAGGTGGATCTATTATAAGATCCTCCACTTCATTAGCATAGCGCTCATCAAGAT